TTAATGATCTTGGAAGAATAAATCAGCCTTCAAAGCATTCTCTGCCCTGCTTCTGACTTTACTTGTGGAATGACTGTGTTCATTAAAATCTCAAAGGAAGGGCCAGGCGCCATGGCTCATGTATGTAATCCTAGCACTTTGGGAGGCCAAGGTGGGTGGATCACCTGAGGTCAGGAATTCAAGACCAGTCTGGCCAACAGGGAGAAACCCCATCTTTAAAAAAAAAAAAAAAAAAAGTTGCTGTTTGTTTTTAAATGTTTTCACTTGTTTGATGTATGTGTGAAACAATGTTCAACAAATAACTAGAATTTTATTTTGCTGATTTACTTTTTTTTTTTTTTTTTTTTTTGAGACGGAGTTTCGCTCTTGTTACCCAGGCTGGAGTGCAATGGCACGATCTCGGCTCACCTGCAACCTCCACCTCCTGGTTTCAGGCAATTCTCCTGCCTCAGCCTCCTGAGTAGCTGGGATTACAGGCATGTGCCACCATGCCCAGCTAATTTTTTCTATTTTTAGTAGAGACGGGGTTTCACTATGTTGACCAGGATGGTCTCGATCTCTCGACCTCGTGATCCACCCGCCTCGGCCTCCCAAAGTGCTGGGATTACAGGCTTGAGCCACCGCGCCCTGGCCTGATTTACTTTTTAACAACGAAAATATAATAGTAAATAACAATTACAGTACACTTACTATGTACCAGGCATCATTCTAGGTGCTTTACAGATACTGTTTCATCTGTCCTCATAACAATTTCATGATGTAGATAGATGCAAAAAGCAGGGCACAGAAGGTCAAGTAATCTGCCCGAGGTCACTCAGCCAGGAGGCATCTCTACAGCCAGTTGAGAAATCATGACGTTATATAGAAGCATTTCAAAAGTAGCCCAATGCTATCAGAGACCCGTGGGTTCTAAGAGCTAAAATGACAGCCTCTTCTCTTATCATTGCGATCTTCTCAAATCATAGATGTTTAATCTTTCTGTAGCTCTGTTTTTGAAACCGTTTTTGACTCTGGGTTTAAGGAGAAAGGTAGCTGGGTGTGGTGGTGGCTTATGCTTGTAACCACAGCACTTTGGGAGGTTGAGGTGGGTGGATCACTTGAGCCTAAGAGTTTGAGAGACCAGCCTGAGCAACATTTTTTTCTCTAGAAAAAATACAAAAAAATTAACCGGGCGTGGTGGCATGTACCGATAGTTCCAGCTACTCAGGAGGTGGAGGATAGGAGGCTCACCTGAGCCTTGGGAGGTCAAGGCTGCAGTTGAACCATGATCATGCCACTGCACTCCAGCCTGCGAGACAGAGTGAGACCATGTCTCAAAAAAAAAAAAAAAAAAAAAAAAAAGTAAAAAGGAGAGAATGCTGTTTTCTCTTTCTTTCTTTTTATTTTCTTTTTTTGAGATAGAATCTTGCTCTGACCCCCAGGCTGGAGTGCAGTGGTGCGATCTCAGCTCACTTCTGTCTCCTGGGTTCAAGTGATTCTCCTGCTTAGTCTCCTGAGTAGCTAGGATTACAGGCAGGTGCTACCATGCCTGGCTAATTTTTGTATTTTTAGTAGAAACGGGGTTTCACCATGTTGGGCAGGCTGGTCTCAAACTCCTGACCTCGTGATTTGCCCGCTTTGGCCTCCCAAAGTGCTGGAATTACAGGCATGAGCCACCTCGCCTGGTCCATCCCTCCCTCCCTCCCTTCCTTCATTCCTTCCTTCCTTCCTTGCTTCCTTCCCCGCCTCCGTCTCTTCTTCCTTCCTTCTGTCCTTCCTTCCTTCTGTCCTTCCTTTCCCTCCCTCCCTCCTTCCTTCCTTCTTTTACCTCCCTCCCTTCCTTCCATCCTTTCTTTTCCTCCCTTCCTCCCTCCCTCCCTCCCTCCCTTCCTTCCTTCTTTTTCTTCAGATGGAGTCTTGCTCTGTAGCCCATGCTGGAGTGTAGTTAAGTGATTTCAGCTTACTGCAACCTTCGCCTCCCAGGTTCAAACAATTCTCCTGCCTCAGCCTCCTGAGTAGCCGGAGTTACAGGCACCTGCCAAAACGCCCAGTTAATTTTTTGTATTTTTAGTAGAGATAGGTTTTCACCATGTTAGCCAGATTGGTCTCGAACTCCTGACTTCAAGTGATCCACCCGCCTCGGCTTCCCAAAATGCTGGGATTACAGGCATGAGCCATTGCACCTGGCCTTCTCTACCCTTTCCAATGCCAAGTAAATTCTCTGCACTGTAAGATTTCCTCACCTGTTCTCATTCCATTGTCTTCTTCCTCTTCTTAACTTAACTGGTCTGTCTTCATTTCTTTGTTATACCTGTATCTCTTATTCTTAGAGTATTTTATTTATTTGTAAAATTATTATTTTTGAGACAGGGTCTTATTCTTCTGTCACCCAGGCTGCAGTGCAGTGGCACAATCACAGTTCACTGTAGCCTCGACCTCCCAGGCTCAAGCGATCCTCTCATTTGTCTCCTGAGTAGCTGGGCATATGGGTGCTCGCAACCATGCCTAGTTAATTTTGTATTTTTCATAGAGATGAGTTATTGCTATGCTGCTCAGGTCGGTCTTGAACTCCTGGGCTCAAGTAATCCTCTAGCCTCAGCCTTTCAAAGTGCTGGGATTACAGGCATGAGCCACTGTGCCTGGCCTATGAGAGTATTTTAGGCCACTTTTGGTGGCTGACGCCTGCAATCTCAGCACTTTGGGAGGCTGAGGCTGGTGGATCATGAGGTCAGGAGTTTGAGACCAGCTTGGCCAACATGGTGAAATCCTTTCTCTACTAAAAATACAAAATTAGCCAGACGTGGTGGTGTGTGCCTGTAATCCCAGCTACTTAGGAGGTTGAAGCAGGAGAATTGCTTGAATCCAGGGGGCGGTAGTTGCAGTGAACCAAGATCACGCCACTGCACTCCAGCCTGGGTGACAGAGCAAGACTCTGTCTCAAAAAAAAAAAAAAAGAGATAATTGGATAGCATTTTACCTGTACTGAGAGTGATTTTACTATGAAGGCAGAAATGTCGTAAAGTGGACACAAATGCAATGCCGTTTGATGGCTGGAGTGTAGCTATTTTGTGCAGGTTGTGAGCTGCAAAAAGGAGTATCGTTATGTTTCTTCAGCAGCTCTGTTGGAGCACAAGAAAGTATTCTTGGCCGGGCACAGTGGCTCAAGCCTGTAATCCCAGCACTTTGGGAGGCCGAGGCGGGTGGATCATGAGGTCAAGAGATCAAGACCATCCTGGTCAACATAGTGAAACCCTGTTTCTACTAAAAATACAAAAAATTAGCTGGGCATGATGGCACGTGCCTGTAATCCCAGCTACTCAGGAGGCTGAGGCAGGAGAATTGCCTGAACCCAGGAGGCGGAGGTTGCGGTGAGCGGAGATCGTGCCATTGCACTCCAGCCTGGGTAACAAGAGCGAAACTCCAACTCAAAAAAAAAAAAAAAGAAAAGAAAAGAAAAGAAAGAAAGTATTCTTGTATGTCAAATTGCATGATAATGACTAAGCATGTGGGGAATGAAGTCATCAAAACGGGGCTATGTGAGAGTCCTAAAGGAGGTTCACAGCTTTACCTTTTTTTTTTTTTTGTCTTTTTTCTTTTCTTTTCTTTTTTATTAGAACTGTTGAGATGCAAAGAGGCTGATATTTCTTCTTATTCTTTTTTTTTTTTTTTTTTTTTTTGAGGCAGAATCTCATTCTGTTGCCCAGGCTGGAGTGCAGTGTTGCAATCTTGGCTCACTGCAACCACTGCCTCCCAGGTTCAAGCAATTCTCATGCTTTAGCCTCCCAGTACCTGGGACTACAAGTGTGCGTCACCACACCTGGCTAATCTTTGTATTTTTGGTAGAGACGGGGTGTCACCATGTTGGCCAGGCTGGTCCTGATATGCCCAGCTACCTTTATTTATATTCAACAAATGATCCTTGAACTTGCTCAGGCCCTGCGCTGAACATGAAGCTATACCTGGAATCATTCAACAGTGAAAAGCTATGAACTTTATTTACTCATGTGTTAATGTATACAGTCGACTTGTCATGCCAAACATCTTCTATGTGTTTGGAATTTCCTGGAATTTGGAAAAACAAAGAGAAATAAGGCTGGGGACTTGCCCTGAGGAATTTATAGCCTAGAAAGGAAGACATAAACGAACAGATAGCTAATGTAACAGTTAAGAACATCAAGAAGCCTGAATCTTCTAGAAGACCCAAGGAGGATTCAAAATCAAATAAACTTTGTATCCCCCTTTACAGTGTTAATAATCTGTATCTAAAAGTCTTGACTAAATGCCCTTCTGGTTAATCAGTCACCATTGGCTGAGGGCAGGGGCTCATACCTGTAATTCCATCACTTTGGGAGACTAAGGTAGGAATTTGAGACCAGCCCAGGCAACATAGCAAGATCCTGTCTCTATTTAAATTTTTTTTTTTTTTTTTTTTTTTTTTGAGATCGAGTTTCACTCTTGTTGCCCAAGCTGGAGTACAATGGCATGGCCTCGGCTCACTGCAACCTCTGCCTCCCAGATTCAAGCAATTCTCCTGCCTCAGCCTCCTAAGTAGCTGGGATTACAGGGGTGCACCACCAAGCCTGGCTAATTTTGTATTTTTAGTAGAGACACAGTTTCCACATGTTGGTCAGGCTGGTCTCAAACTCCCTACCTCAAATGATCCACCCGCCTCAGCCTCCCAAAATGCTGGGATTACAGGCGTGCTTAAAGTTATTTATTTTTAAAAAGGCTGGATACAATGGCTCTTACCTGTAATTCCAGTACTTTGGGAGGCTGAGGTAGAAGGATCACTTGAGGTCAGGAGTTTGAGACCAGCCTGGGTAACTTAACAAGACTCCCGTTTCAACAAAAAATAAAAATCTTAACAACAATTTAAAAGAAAGAAAAGTAACCATCCTTTCTTTTAAAATGAAGTAATAGCCCAGTTGCCTTTCCCCCTTGTATCTAGCGCTATTTAGAAAGAAATGGGAAACGAAGAGAGAGAGAAAGAAGGAGAAAGCCTAACATAATCGCACACTGACCTGCAAGGTAATTGAGATGCTTTCTCCAAACTCCAAGATTTTTCCCAGGACACAAAAACTTTCACTGCTACATTCGTGGCAGGTTTATATTCACATCAGTGTAGTCACTAGCCTAAAATGTCTGGTGGATTTTCCTGCTGATGCAGCTGTGGTGAGTGAGGCTCTTTATGCTCCAACAATCCAAAGCCCAAATCTAGCTTTCCTTGCGGAGCTAAGAGAATGGGTTTTCCAGAAATGTCATAGCACTGATGTTTCCATTACTCCAGTCTGGAAACTTCATTGCTGGAGTTGGTGGAAGTAAGATTTAAGTATTAGATGTGACTTCTACAGTGAAAATACCAAAGAGCCTTCCTATGAATAATTAAATGGCTGTAGTGAGCCAGAGCCAACAGCAAAAGATAGAAGTACCCATTTGTAATCAGCCGGACTTAAAGGGGCCAAGTCCAGTTTTTATTCAACCTGCTTCAAGTGAAACTGCGTCAGCCTTCGATCTTTTACTGGCAAGAAGGGAAGCTTTTGGCCTCAGATGTTTTTTCACAGGAGAACACAGGAGAATTTGTCATATGCTTAGTGAAACTGCAATAATAAAATTACTTAAAAGCTTTTTATCATTTAGGCATAGCACAGAGGAAGTATAAATGGACATTCAAAATGTCAAGATGAGTTCAAGGCCACTATAGTTGGTGTAAGGATTAAAGCAATTAAGATGCTTTTTTTTCTTTTAACTTTTTTCTTTTTTTAAACATAGGGTTGCCGGGTGCGGTGGCTCACGCCCGTAATCCTAACACTTTGGGAGGCTGCGGTGGGTGGATCACCTGAGGTCAGGCGTTCAAGACCAGCCTGGCCATCATGGTGAAACCCCATCTTTAAAAAAAAAATATATATATATATATATATATATATATATATATATATATATGTGTGTGTGTGTGTGTGTGTGTGTATATATACACACACATATAGGGTCTTGCTCTGTCGCCCAGGCTGGAGTGTAGTGGTTCAGTCATGACTCACGACAGCTTCAAACTTTTATGCTCAAGGGATCCTCCAAGCCTCCCAAGTAGCTGGGACTACAGGTGCATACCACCATGCCCTGCTAATTTTTTTTTTTTTTAATGCAATAAGGTCTCACTATGCTGCCCAGGCTGGTCCCAAACTCCTTGGCTAAGTGATCCTCTCACCTCAACCTCCCAAAGTGCTGGGTTTACAGATGTGAGACTGTGCCTGACCTAAAATACTTAAAGTGCTTAGTGCTGGCTCATAGGAAATACTATTATGTGGTAGCAATTCTTATTCCTGGGCACCTTCCTATATTAGTTTCCTATTACTGCTGTGGCCAATTACCACTAGCTTAGTAGCTTAAAACAAATTTATCTTACACTTCTAGAGGTCAGACGTTTCAAATGCGTCAGCAAGACTACATTCCTACTGGAGGCTCTAGTGGAAATCTGTTTTCTTGCCTTTCGGAGCTTCTGGAGGCCACCTGTGTTCCTTGGTTCATGGCCCCACGTCACTCTGATCTCTGTTTCCATCATCACTTCTCTTTTTCCAGCTCTGACCCTCCTGCTTGGCTTTTATAAAGACTTGTGTGATGACATCGTACCCACCTGGATAATTGGGAATAATCTTCCCATCTCAAATCTTTTATTTGATCACATCTGCAGTCACTCTCGTCCGAGTAAGGTAATAACCACAGATTCTTTTTTTCTCTCTCTCTTTTTTGATTTTTTTTTTATTTTCTCTTCTCTCTCTCTCTCTCTCTCTCTCTCTCTCTCTCCCTCCCTCCCTCCCTCCCTCTCTTTCTTTCTTTCTTCTTTCTTTCTTCTTTTTGTTTAATGACCACAGATTCTGAGGATTAGGATGTGGTCTTCTTTGGATAGGAGTTACTCAGTTTGCCACATCTTCTTTCAATTTCTCTGCTCTAGGCTGGGCACAGTGGCTCAAGCCTGTAATCTCAACACTTTGGGAGGCTGAGGCTAGTAGTTTGCTTGAGTCCAGGAGTTCAAGACTAGCCTGAGCAACATGGCGAGACCTCATCCCATAGAAAATAGAAAAATTAGCTGGACATGATGGAGCTCACCTGTGGTCCCAGCTACTCGGGAGGCTGGGGTAGGAGAATCACTTGAGCCCAGGAGGTCGAAGCTACAGTGAGCTGAGATCATGCCACTGCACTCCAGCCTGGGTGACACAGATCCTGTCTCAAAAGAAAAAAAGAAAAGAAAAAGGAAAAAGAAAATTTCTGCTCTATTTTGGCTGAAATGATAGCAGCTTCTGTTGACTGAGGTGCTCCTATGAGCAACCCTATGAAGGGGGTTAGAAAGGACAGAAAATGCATTGAGTATAGCAGATGCTGACTGCACTGTTATCCATGCACTTAGCATTTCTGGGCTCCCTGGCCAGATTTTCAAATGCCGACAGGTATAACTATTTGCCTGAGGGCCTTCTCTGGCTGCCAGAGCTTTACTTACCCCTGGGGGGCAGATCAGAAGTGCCAAGGAATTAGTCCCCCTCTTTGCCCCAAGCAGCTCTTAATCGATGGCTGATAAGGACCCAACTCCCCACCCCTTGCTGAGAGAACTCTCAGGTGTGTGTTGTACAGTCTTCTAAAGTGGAGGCTGGAAGCAGTGGCTTGTGCCTGTAACCCCAGCACTTTAGGAGGCTGAGGAGAATTGCTTAAGCCCAGGAGTTTGAGACCAGCCTGGGCAACATGGTGAGGCTCCATCTCTACTTACAAAAAAAGAAAAGAAAAGAAAAGAAAAAACAAAATAATAGAGTGCTCCAGTGTGGTGACTTGCTTGGGAGTATACCCTCGCCTCTGTTGTCTGCCTTCGCTTTCTGATCTCATTTTCTCTACTCCCCAAGTAATGTTTTCTGGATCATCTGCTAAATAGACTACTCACATGTGAATCCTTGCCTCAGGATCTGCTTCTAGGGGAATTCAAATTAGTATATTTGAGCAATTAAGTAAGTTGTCCAATGTCCCATGGCTACTAAGTGATAGAGCAGGCATCCCCAAACTACGGCCCCGTGGGCCACATGCGGCCCCCCTGAGGCCATTTATCTGGCCCCCTGCCGCACTTTAGGGAGGGGCACCTCTTTCATTGGTGGTCAGTGAGAGCAGCACAGTATGTGGCGGCCCTCCAATGGTCTGAGGGACAGTGAACTGGCCCCCTGTGTAAAAAGTTTGGGGACGCCTGTGATAGAGGAAGGTTTTGAACCCAGGTCTGTGCAAAGCTCACATTCTATAAGCAGTCCCAGTCACTTCTTGTTTAAAAAAAAAAAAATCCTTTTTTTTTCGCCTGCTGTCAAACCCAGTCAATTTTTTTTCTTTTTATTTATTTATTTTTTGGAGATGCCTGGAGAGAAATCAAATGTAAATTTTCTTTTCTTTTCTTTACATATATATATATATATATAAAGACAGGGTTTCACCATGTTGGTCAGGCTGGTCTTGAACTCCTGTCCTCAGGTGATCCACACGCCCAGCCTCCCAAAGTGCTGGGATTACAGGCATGAGCCACCACACCCAGCCTTTCTTTTTCTTTTTTTTTGAGATGGAGTTTCGCTCTGTCACCCAGGCTGGAGTGCAGTGGCACTATCTCAGCTCACTGTGATCTCTGCCTCCCAGGTTCAAACCATTCTCCTACCTCAGCCTTCTGAGTAGCTGGGATTACAGGCACATGCCATCACACCAGCTAATTTTTAGTAGAGATGGGGTTTCACTATATTGGTCAGGCTGGTCTCAAACTTCTGACCTCATGATACACTTGCCTCAGCCTTCCAGAGTGCTGGGATTACAGGCATCAGCCACTGTGCCAGCCTCCAGTCACTTCTTTTAGCTGGCTTTGCTGCTGATCATACCTAAGAGAGACTGTTGACCCAAGGTGTAATAAAGCTAAAAGGTGCCTATTTTCAAGTTCCTAATTTGAAGGAAGAATGTAGACCTGATCTGGTGGGGACGGGGATGCAGTGACTCTCAGGCTCTGGCAGCGTGTGGGAGCGCCCTGAGCATCCTTGGGCAGCAACACAGACTCATGGGTCAGATGGGAGTGGCTGGATTTGCATGATTTTTCTAAGTTCAAATTCAGTGACAGGCCATAGCAACAAGAAACTGGCTTAAAAGGTATGTACACACATGTTCTTTATCAATACATAATGTGCTTAGGGTAGTGTGCATCAGGACACAGACCGAGGACCCAGGGAATTTTCCTAAAATGTGGTTCTAGTAGATGTAGCTTTTCTAGAATATAGCTTTTAGCCCACAAACAGCCTGCATTATGGAAGAAGATGGAAAAGAAATAGGTGGGCTGTCTCTGCTCCCATTTTTGTTTGTTTCTCTTTCTTTACCCTTTAGGGCTGATATTGTCATACTTTTAAATCTGATTTCTGATTTCATTAGGACAAAAACTCACGTGGGAGGCGAGACTGATTTTGCTAGTCTTTCTACCCTTAAGAGTTTTGTGAAGCTTTTCCCTTTACTTTTTTTTTTTTTAGACACAGTCTAATTCTTTCCACCAAGGCTGGACTGCAGTGGCGTGAACATGGTTCACTGTAGCCTCCACCTCCAGGCTCAAGTGGTCCTCCCACCTCAGACTCTGTGGGACCATAGGCGTGTGGCACCACACATGGCTAAGTTGTTTTTTATTTTTCTGTATTTTCTGGAGAGAAAGGGTTTCGCCATGTTGGCCAGTCTGGTCTTGAACTCCTGGGCTCAAGTGATCTTCCTGCCTTGGCCTCCCAAAGTACTGGGATTACAGGCATGAGCCACCGCCCCTGGCCTTGTATTGTTTTTTAAGAGACAGTCTTACTCTGTCCCCCAGGCTGGAGTGTAGTGACCTGATCATAGCTCACTGAAGCCTTGAATTCCTGGACCCAGCTATTTTTTTTTTTTTTCTTTTTGTAGAGATGGGGTTCTCCTTATATTGCCACCAGGCTGCTCTTGAATTCCTGGTGTCAAGCAATCCTCCTGTCTCAGCCTCCAAAAGTGCTGAGATTACAGGTATGAGCCACCATATCCAGCAAAATTCTTTGAGGTTTATGTGTTTATTTTGCATTCAGACCCTTTAGTCTTTGGAAAACAAAACCCGGAAAAGCAAAGAGTTATATTAGCATTAGAGTATGAGAAAAAGAAGGGTCACATTCAGAATATTGCAAGGCTACCAATTCACAGAAGGCATACCTGGCACGTCCCTCTGAGTATTAGATGCCACTTGGTTTGAAGCCTTTACTTGCTGACAGGATAAAACCGTAGGTGATCTGCCTAATCTCTATCAGTTACCTTATC